TGCCCGGAGAGGGTTCCGAGAGTGTGGCGTTCGGCGGTGATGAGCTGCGTGCAGAGAAAAAAGAGGAAAATGGGGGCGTTTATCTGCTGCAACCCTACGGTGAAGGAGAAGCGAAGAGAGAATAATATAATAAGACCTCGAAGTTTTTAGGATTTTACTTCTCTTTTTCCTTTTCTTTTTCCTTTTTTTTTTGTATAATTTTTGGTAGGAGAAGTTTGGGAGTTTCTACAAAAGAAGCTTATGTATTTTGTTTTCTATTTGTTATAGAGTGTGAATAGTACGCATGTTATTCACATAGAATTTAGTTGGGTTGCAGGTAATGGAGGATTTCTTTTTTTAAACTCATCATAGGATTCTTACTTACTGATTATTTCAACTAATTCCTAAAAATCAACGACAAAGCATAAATTAGAACACTAAAATGAGTGAGTTTATTGATAATAAGAGTTGGGATAGAGTTTGTCTCTCTCGAGTGTCGGACCTGGATGTTGTGGGAAAAATTTGTATGGTGCCTATTTCTCTGCAAAATAAACGTGATAGTTTGGTATGAAAACACTCATCTACTGGTGCATTCTCAATTAAGTTGGTGACTTGGATTCAAAGTAATAATAACCAAGAAGTTAAAAGGTAGAAGCTCCTTAAGGAGATATAGAAGTTAATGATACCTCCCAAGGTAAAAATTTTGCATGGCTTCTTACTCATGAAAAACTTCGTACTAGGATGAGATTGAGTAAATTCATTCAGAATATTGACAAATTGTGCCCTATGCGTGGCAATGAGGATGAGACTCAAAATCACCTTTTTCTTAATAACGAGCACGCTAAAGAAACGTGGAACCTTTCTCCGGTAACTCCTTGGAATAATAATTTGACTCAATTTATTAATGTGTTATTGGATGGAGCTAATTGACAATGTTGAATGCAATGGTTTGAGTGATCTTAGTAAAGCTATTTTGAATTATTGGCAAATGTGAAATGATAGAAATAATAAAGTTTTTAGAAGTATGATTCCTAGTCTGGCTAGGAGTGTCTCCATTGCCGCAAGTGTAGGCCTATCTTTTTTTAAGGTTAATTGTAAGAAGATCTCTATGGGTGATCCTTGCCACCAACACCCCATTTGCTAGCCTTCCTCCTCATGGTTATGTGAATTAAACTTTGATGGGTTGGTTAGTTTGAATCGTCCTGCAGCTGCTATTGGTGTTGGGGCATTGAATCTTGATGGCGCCACCACTTCGGTTGTGGAGGTTGTTGCTTTAAAGGAAAGGCTTGTGTTCGCCAAGCGCAAAGGTGTGAAGAAACTAATGGTGGAAGGGGTTCCAAGCTAGTCATCCAGGTGGTGCAAGATGTTTGGATGCCATATTGGCATCTTAAACCTATCATAGAGGACATCAAATGGTTGGCATATGGATTTCAGCATATCAATTGGAAGCATATTTATAGGGAGACTAATTTTGTGGTGGACGCATTAGCTCATGTGGGCCTCACTGATGCCAACCCTCATTTTTTGGATTACTATCTTCCAATTTTGACTATAGGGGCCTTTAATTTTGATTGTATAGGAAACGGTTGTATTAGCAATTTAAATCCCATATAGATTTGGTTATAATTATTCTTTCCTTACCAGGATTGTATTTGTTTGGGAGTATAAGGATTCCTCTCCTCTTTACTACCATAAATAAAGGCACTGTGTAAGGAAATAACATATTTGATACACACAGAGAAATCCCTACACTTTCTCTTGCCGCACCCCTTGCTCTCCTTGTTAGATAAATTGATTGCAACACGTAATTGGCACTTTCCTCCGCTGCGTTAGGAAATCTAACGTGGAATTTTTTGCATCAAAACAACGATTTTTATCTCGATATTTTTGCAGTCATAATAGCATAAACATTCACCATAATGCATCACTTAACTTTACGTTTACAAATTTTAGATTCTGCATATATTGTTGATGCATTACATTCATAATTGTTAAATTATACAATTTGGAAAGTGAAAAAAAAAATTTGGCATTTCCATGGAAGCCCAGAAAGCAACGGTGCGACTTCCTGAGTTGAGCCACGAGACCAAACCACACAACCACAAGCTCCAGGTTTGGCAACCAAGAAACCCAACGTCATCCATGGCATCCTCGTCATTGACCACCTTTGGTCATTGTCACTAACGACCAGAAGGCGTCTCAAGCGATTCTCTGACCAAGATTCATTCGAATCTCATTGGATTTTTCAAAATTCCAATTTGAATTTTCTAGGGTTTTGGTTCTTAAATGTCGAAATTCACCTTTCTCCATTCATATTCATGATCAAAGTTGTATCACAAACTCGCCTTGAGTTTTTTCGACAAAAAAAGCTGCCTAAAGCGGCAACGCATGCTTTCTTCTCCAGCGAACACACTTAGCAGCTGCTAGGATGTTTTAATGGTCCACTACGTCTTAATTGGGCACCTGGCACCTTGGGCCACAACAACTGAAAAAAAAAAAGTTTTTTTTTTCTCTTGGGCTTGCTTACAGCAGCCCACTGTAGCTGCTTTGCTCGGCTCACATTGACACCAGTTTGTGTGGTTACCATGTGCCCCTGTGCTGCATCGCTCTAGGTCTCAGCCTGTGTGGCTGCGACACCAGTGCACTGCAAATCACATGATCACTGCCATAATCTTCATTCAAAGACACATTCATGACACACTACAAACCGAGTACCTCGCTAAGGAAGATCCACGAGCTTTATAGGTCTCTTTGGCGGATGGTTTCGATCACCAAAGAGACATCTTCTTGCTTAAAGCAAGACAAGATTGGCAAGACTTGTGCTTCCAAGAATTTAGGTCTGTGAATGAATACAATTGTGAAGTTTTCCGAATTCAATCACTTCTCAAGTTTTGTAATGAAGACTTGACCAAAGATGATCTTCTAGGATAATACCTATTCGACCTTCTCTATGACCAATATCGTTAGGTAGCAACAATATAGAGCTCATAAGTCCACTAAGTTTTCAGATTTAATCTTTGTTTTACTTCTTGCTGAAAAACAGAATCAACTTTTGATGATGAATCATCAAGCTTGACCTACTGGCGTGACCATTATGCCTCAACCACACAATAGCGAGAATCGACTCCCGAACTACCAGTTCTAGGCAGTGGTAGGTGCGGCTAGAAGCCGTCCAACCAAGGTCAACAAAACCAAGGCCCATCTAAGGGAGGAAACCAAGCCCATAAGCATTTTAACATCGCTCTCAAGGCCTCGAACTTCAAGAATAAGGGCAAAGCACCTACACCATGGATGCAGACATGTGTCACCGATGTGGTTCAAATGACCCTTGATCTCGTGTTTGCTGCGTTCCTTCCAAGGTCGTAGCTGAGTATCATTATCGTTATAAGAAGTTTGAATCAAACTTTGCTCAAGTGGAATACAAAGATAGAGGTTTCTAACTTTCAAAATGAAGTTGTCCCAATGGAAGATAGATTCTTAGACATGACAAATTTGGCCAAATTTCTCCCCTTGGGGTCGAATTCCACTATGTGGCCGAGTTTTACCCCTGCAGCTGCCTTGCACAATCCTGGCCCATAAGAAAAGGTTTAATTTGGCAGAGCCAACAAAGGTAGTCGATTAGAGTGAGTTTGAGCAAATTGGTGGTGTTGGAACGGGGAGGGAAGAAGGCATAGTAGCAATGGAGATCATAAAAACAGGTAGAGGATTGTGAGGTAGATGTAAGAGAAATATGGCTGAAGCCTTGTGATATATCACTTCTCAAGGTTCATTGATTGAATTACTAATATAATATATAGGGAATACTGACCTTTTTATCAGTAAACCAAGTTAAAATTAACAACTACAGTTACCAAACTATAACTTGCTTTTTGTTTAGGATGCTCACTTTAAATACAATATTATAAAAAAGGGTAACACTAAGGAGATCAAATTTGCAAATCAAATTATGTGTCATCAATGGAAAATAAAAACGTTAATTAACACTTAAGTAATAATCCAATCATCAACGTCCATATCATTTGGTTTACAAAATTTGGTTTAGAAATTTGGTCTTCTTAGCATTACGCTTTAAAAAAAGATTAACAAAATTGAGTAGAGAGTATGAGAAAACACGCAAAATCCCTAATTGACAGAAATCGCAAAGATTTTGATGTGGGGTTTAAGTGGAGAAGGTGGGGGTGTATGTAGAGTGTGAGGTGTAGGAATAATATTGGGAAGTAAGTGGGGTGCATTAAGATAAACTTTAATTAAAAAAAGCAAATATGATGTGTATTAAGCACATTAAATGTAGTCAACAAAATATGAGAGGTGTATTTAAAACAAGATGTAGGTTTCCTTGTTCTCAAAGAATTATGTTTACCTATTTGGTATTATTTAATTAGGCTTGTATTTTGTTGTCTATAGAGAAAATCATAAATATTTGTTGTTTTAAAATTAATCAATAAGCTTATTGCTTGGTTGACCTCATCTATTTTTTTTGAACACATTTACCTTCCTTGGTTCTCTCTCTTTTATTTTATTTTTTTTATTACAAGTGGTATTTTACACTACTCTTCACTAAAGGGACATAAAAAGGTTTGAACTTAGAACGCAGTGGATTTAAGAGGAAGCTCCTAACCAAGTTGGAAATGATAATGTGGAAAATCTATATACAGATGGTGGGTACCTATCTGAATTTTCATCTAAGATTAGCAACATTCAGTATTATAAGCTTCTAAACATGCATTTTGATGATTAACGGCTCGTTTCGAAATGCTTTTAACATGATTGAAACCTTTTTTGGTACAAGTGCTTTTGAGTTTTGAGTTCCAAAAGCTCTTGAAGTGCATTTTGAAAGAAGCACCAATTATATGCTTATTGCAGGAAGCACTTGCATTTTTACTAAGATTGGTTCCAAAAACACTTTCATTAAAAGTGCTTTAAGTCATTTTAAAAACACTTCCTAAGACAGCTAAGTTAACGGTCTTGTGCTTCAACCACACAAGATAATACAAATTCCTTCTAAGCATTTTATGCACGCGTAAGAAAAGATCATCCCTTAAGAAAAATTTGCGAAAACATTACAGTTATTCATCTACATCAGAGATGGTTTAAACAGCATTAGGGATCTTAGAAGCTACATTATTATATGCATGGTCTATTTCCTCCTCTGTCATCTCAATTGTATCATCGCTGTCGTATCCTGCTGCACCACTGCATATGCCTTCAGTTTTCCCACTGTCCCTCTCTTGTCTTTCCACCTTTGGTTTTTTCTTTGAGGACTCATCACCTAAACCATTAAGTTCTGCCTCGTAAATTTGTTTACAGTCCACAGCCTGTTTGCAGAGATCTTCCTTGAATACTGCCGCAGAGTTACTTCCGGTGCCCTCGAGCTTTGCCAACTCTTCAACTACACGAGGAATGAAATTCCACTGCTCAGTTATTTTCCGGACATCCTGCGAAGTACAAACAAAGTCATCAAACAGAAATTGGATTCGAGGATGAAGCAACATTGTTTTGTCTAGTCACAAATGCCATCATTGAACTTGCAACTGAATAGTGGAGAGCATCAATGGGTATCTGTTGAAGAAATTAAACGATATAGTTTTGTCATTTCTTAATAAGATCAATCATCATGTAACAGGATGACCGCAAATCCTATTTCAACTAGGATGTCATCAAGTTCATGCTCTAACAAGGCTAACAAGTCAGTTTCAGGAAATGCAGAAATGCGGAATGTGAGTGTGCCCAGCTTTGAATGATCTAATGATCAAGTCAATTCCCATGGATCCCATATTTAAAGAAAAAAATGGCCCTGTTTAATGGCTTTCCCATTTTCAGTGGATTGAATCGAGCACGGCCAGAATTATGCATACACGAGCACAAGCTGTCTTTACAAAATAAATGCAGACATAGTGCGCTAAGAAAAGAAAGGTACAAGGAACTTGTGATTGGTTTTAATCAAGAAAATATAGGATATTGATCACCATTGTAAAAGTAATATATATTAGAGAGAAAATATACAAAGTATTGGTCACTCTTGTGAAATTAAAAACAATTGTTGTGCATACGGAGATCAAAATTCGTAAAATGTATACCCCATTGATTGGTTCAATATCAGATAATGTGATTCAACAGAGATGTCACTGCCTACAAATGGTGAAGGGAAACAATTTGATACGTGTTTCTGATAGGATCCAAACCCCCAAATTACATGTTCACTTTCCATGTACCTCCGACACAGGGTCTAAATTAGTTTCCTATTCCCTTTCTATTTTCACACGAGTGGGTGGAGGGGGAAGGGACTGAAGTATGCAAGAAAAAAGTTTAGCACTAGTTCAAAGGGACAAAGTGAGTTTCTGTAGGAATACCTGTTTTTGTTCAAGAAATTCTATTGCATCTTGTAAACAAGTTAAAATCCCTTCAGCTGCTATTTGCTTTATCTCATCTGGCTCTGGCTGTAAGAGGTAGAAGAACAGAATAAAGATCAGATTTATCCAGAAGATAAGGTAAGTCTCGTATACAATTGAAAGAGGAAAAGAAATTAATAAATATCCTACACCTCTCAACCACTACTCTATCAGCGGGTCGAGAGAAGACATTATTTCTAAGAGGGACATCTATAAATGACAATTGTGAGTCCGTGAAATTCAGCGGCTGTAAAAACAAACATGTGCTAACACACACACACACACACACACACAAATAGTAGAATGCCAATAACCTTTTCTTCTTGACTCTCCAGCCACGATATTGTCTTATTCAAATCATCAACTGCCCACTTCTTCACTTTAGAAGGAGAAAAGCACTCTTTAACAGTATTAGAAGCTTTTATCTGCTAAATATATACACAAGAAACCGCCATTGGTATATTAAATTTCCACTGGCATCAAAACTACTAAAAATTAAAAAGTAAAATCTGACACATTTTATCATTAAACTAGTCAAAACATACCTTTGAAGTTGCTGGGGCAGTTGGTTTCAATGGTGTTTCTCCATCTTGCTTCTTAGATTTACTAGGTCGGGATACCTTTTTGTCTGCAGACAGTCACTAGAGCATTGATTAGCTATAAATGCAACAACAATACGAATCTAAGACCAAATAGCGACCAAGTAAATTATCCTAACTAAGGTTTTGAAAAATTAAACTCAACATGAGGTATTAAAACTGTAGTAACAAATTAAAATTAAATTAAAAATAAATTAAATATTAAGACAAGAATACTTTTTGTTGTACAGAATTATCAAACCTAGCAGATATTCTTGCTCGAAAAGTTAGAATTCCACTAAACATTCTTACACCTTGGCTGTTTTGATGGGAAACACTGCTTTTACGCCAGGGTTTTCCAGCATTCATAAGGTAACTTTCAATATCGACAAGCTTCTTCTGGGCGTAACATTCTGATATCCAATCCTAATATGAACAAAATAGACACCTTTAAATAACTACAAAGTATAAATTATCATTCAGAAAACAATTGCGGAAGCATCAGCATTGAGTGTGATTTTTTTTTTTTTTTTTTGAAACTAGTGTCTCCGGATCTTTGACCTGACTAATCGCTAGGCCCCCCCGCCTGACCCCATAACATTTGGGAAGCAAAAAACTCTAGCAATTGCTAGGTGGGTACCTTGAGAGGTGTCGAACCCCAGACCTCTTGGTAGCAAACCAAGGGCCTGACCATTAGACTAAACACTCTTAGGTGCATTGAGTGTGATTATAGAAAACTAATTTGCTCTTATCTCGTGAAATGGGACTTGTATTTAGCATAAGAGTGCATATGACAAGCTAATGAATCTATAATAACAGAACTGAGCACGTAGTGACTTTAGTGCAGCTTGCGGAAACAAAGAAGAACCAACAAAACCAGTCAATGGCTGAAGACAAATCATCATTTCGGACAAGATATTAATACTACAGAAATAAATAATCAGTGCATCTCATATACCATAGAAGTTTTACTTTAGTTTGGCTTTATGAAATACGAAATAATCTCTTAATTTATTGTAGCCTGCCTTAAATAACAAACCATCTCAATTGACTCAAAAGAATGCATTTCTATACAGAATAAAAAATGCATACGACACACAAGTCAATAGTCTATTTTTGAAAGAAAAATTAGAAACCTTTGAAACTATAGTTCCACAATCTGCCTCAACTTGTCGAAACTTTGGGGTGTTTGGAAATGCACAAACTAAGAGAGTGCAATCTGAACTCCAGTCAGGCTGATATTCCGCTCCCATTTCCAAAGCCTGTGACCGCAAATTGCTGCGCTCAGGATTAACAAACCCAGACAGCACAAACACTACTCCTTCCTGGTCACATATGAGTTATGATATTATCCTCACATTGTCAAGTCAAAAGACAAACACAACAATGCAGCTTGATAAATCTCATTATTCCACACTATCTAGTACCATGAGTTTGGAAAAGTTTGCAGTTCCGGAACTGGATGCAGAAGATTTCTTGATGTCCTTAGAAGGCGTACCCCCGCGCCCCCTGGCTACCCTTGGCTTTCCTTCCTCATTGCTTTCTTCACCTTCAGCAGCCCCAGTTAATTTCTTTCCAGGGGACTCACTCTCATTGTCTCTTGAACTAATCCACGAAGGAAGGCTTCGCTTCCCGGCTTATCAGAACCATTACCCTGGCTCAGCTTTCGAATGAGACATTTTTACAAGCAATTTAAACCCCAAATTGCTTCCAATCAACAGCTATACAAAATTTACAGCAACCCAGTTAGGCTAATGGAAAAACATCACAGTTTCCACAAGCTCCACCGTGATAAATACACACACACACACACACACACCTACAATTGGTAACATGTTCAAGTGATATTTATACAATCACAGGCCAAGAAATATAATTCAAAAAATTAAAATAACAATTAAGTATAAAAGTTACAATCTTGACAGTTCATGCAGTAAGAGACAGCATCAAATAAATTAGAATTCCCAAATCAAATCAAAATACAGAGAGAGAGGAAATTGGGGGAAAGTAAAAACCCTAGTTGCAGGAAGAGAGTAATTGGAGAACCGTTGGCTTCTCTTTCACCTGGGGGCCCTGCAATTGCTTCCAATTCCGTACAGAAATTGGGTTTTGCTTCGATTTTCCTCAGCTGCTTTCTCCTGCCAACGAGGAGTGGCGTGGCCGAGTGCGAGTGGTGGGCTCTGAGGAGCGCACGGTACAAAACGCATAACTTGAAGGGCACATCTGCAAAATAATAAAGTACAAGAGTTAGAAAAAAGTTCACTGTCCTCTTTTTCGCTGTCCCCTCCTGTACCATGCTACCGTGGTGACACGTTTCACACTCAAAACGTTTCTATTACGTTAGGACAGGTGTCATCAATGGAAGCAATTGATACGGAGGAGACAGATAAAAGCGGGACACGAGATTTGTACCTCCGATGCAACTCCCGCTCAAGTTCCAAAACGATGTCAGTCTCTCAAAATTTCAAAACTCAAATCCTCCTCGCCTCTTCCGTCTCGCAGACCCCGCGAGAACGACACAGACGGTAAATCGCCTCCGTCATCGTCCTCATCTCGCCTCCGTCGTCTACCCTCCTCCTCTCTCCTCCTCTCTGGAATCGATCCATCTTTTCGAAGAGGATAAACAGATCTGAAATGGTGTTTAGGTACGCAACTTCTTTGCCGTTTTGTTTTCTATTTTTGATTAAGTTTTTTTTTTTTTTTTCCCATTTCTGAAATCAATTCTTGCTATTTCTTCTGGGTATTTGCTGTAATTTGTGTTCACTTAGTATTAGAAGTGAAATAAATTGTTAATTTCGACCACAATTACAAGGGTTAAGGGTTTCTGAGAGCTCGGGTTTAAGGATTTGGTAAATTGTTAATTAAGAACTTTGTAGCATTTAGCTGCTTAGTTTGTTTAAAGTTAATTTGTAGTGGAGTGTTATGGTTTTGATTATTGCTGGTGTAGCAATATACCATTTAATTAAATTACCCAAAACAAGCCCTAAACCCTGTATTTTGTCTCTTCATCTCTCATAGGGCTCTCCCTTCGGAAATTTGAATTGTGAGAGAGAAAAGATGAACGACGCTTGGAACTCCGATCCAGTAGATCCGCTGCAGGGTTTCACAGGCCTCGCTCTCTTCCACCAGAGCTGCAAGGCTATTCCAGACAGTTCAACTTCCATTCCATTTGATTTCGACCGCGACCTCCAAGCCATCCATTCCCAATTCAACTCCACGGTACTTGCTAACACTACTCCACTCTCCAAAATATAGATTTGAGTTAAGTTTTTATTTTGGGTGAAAAGTTTTCAGTTGAATTATATTTTTGCTTACTGTGAGTTTATTACTTTATATCGGGTAAATATTGTTTTCTTTAATTTTCTGAAATTTTGTTGCAATTTTTATTTTATTTATTTATTTATTTATTTTTAAATTTATGACCCAGAAAGTATAGGATTAGTAATTTCATTTTTGTTTGGAATCTTGTATATTCTTTTTGTTATCTAGTTGGTTGAACTCAGTTTGACTATTTTGATGTGGGTGCTTAATTGAAGCCTATATTTCTGTTGGTTGCTGAGAAAACTAATGGAAAACGTATAAATATACTTTTGGCACTTTGTTTTGAATTGGAATTTGTAGAAGCTGAAAATCTGACAGGAGTTTGATTTTCTTTTCAGAGTTTTTGGGATACCTTGGAAAGCTCATAATATTATTTATGTTATTTTATGATTGTTTTTGTTAAAATTCAACAAGCATACTGAGAACCAATTAATTTTTATTACTGAACTTATAGCTTAGTATAATGCAAAACTGGTTCTTTAAGTATGTTCTCAATGAAATTTTTTGTGTTCAAGTTTCGTCTCAAATGAGGTCTTTCTGTATCTGATCTCTTGCACAATGGAATTCTATCAGTGGGTGGAAAGCATTCATAGTTAATTCTTTCTGGTGCTTTTTCAGGCCTCACAAGTTAAACTTGTAGATCAGGTAAAAAACATTTTAAGTGATACTTCAAAATCTCTGAAGTCTGGTAATCCACAAGCAACAAAACAGAAAAGTGAAGGTTTTCCTGAAAAGGCTAGGTAAAGTATATGGCTGGTGCTTTCATTTCCTTAAGTACTTTTTACAGATATAGGTTGATATTTTATTATACTCATTTTGCAGTCAACCTAACATGAGTTTGCTACCAGTCTTTTGATATCAATGGGCTTGAGAGTAAGTTGCACTCCCTCTGTGGTCCTGAATTTATACTACAAACCCTTGTGCAACTGTAAATTTTAATGCTTTCTGATTGGTGCACAGATGCTAGAAAAGCAAAAGAGAATTTTAGGGGTGGTGCTGCGTTGGATGCAGATCAGCAAGCTTTCCATATCCGACTCAAGTTGATGGTACTTAGTCACACAATCTCCATCTCATTTTTTTTTTTAATTTTTTAATCTCCATCTCATTTTTGACCCACTTACTTATTCTACTATATCAAATAAAAATTTTAAAATTACTTTTATTTCTGCTTAGTCTCAGTTTATCTAAGGTAAATACTGTTTTTCTTAACATGCTACCTTTTCCAGTGTACTTATTCCTTAAATTTATAACTGGGAAAACGAATGACAAGTAGATAAAAGCATATTAATATGGGTTTTTTGACAATTTGTTTGAACCTTGTAATTGGGTAGTATGAAAATTGGAGTGGGTTGAATTTTTTCCCTTTCAAAGTTTTGGCATTTTTAATCTTCGGAAAGCCCCCAGAATACTATTTATTTATTTATCTTTTTATTTATGATTAGGTTTGCTAAGTTTTAAAAAGTGAATTTATACCTTATCATCTTGCATACAGTGGGGGACCGACTCTATAAGTACGTCCTCATTATAGGGTTAATTTTTGTCTCCAATAAAACTTTTTATATTTAATCATTGTTATACATGCAATGCAATCATATGTACTACTGCAATTTAATCACAAAAGCAATAAAAGTTAATTCTTACGGCACTTTTTTCAGGCCTCACAACATAGTCCAAGTAAACTTAAAGATGAAGGGGAAAACATTGTAAGTGGTACATCAGAAATTCTGGAGCCTGGTAATCGACAAGCATTGAAACAGAAAAGTAAAGTTGTTACTGAAAAGGGTGCGGAAAGTCCCCGACAGAGAAGACCAGCCTTGGGTCTTAAACGTGCTCGGTTTTCTATGAAGCCTGATTCCAGGTAATGCTAATGGTTGGTGCTTCATTTTATTAAAAAGTACTTTTACTCTTTTACATATAGAGGTTGACGTTTGTTACACTGCAGTCAACCTGATACGAGTTTGCTACCACCTTTTGATGCCCAAAAATATACAGACCCAGAGGAATTGTTCAAGGAACTTGAAAAATATGAGAGTAAGTTGCACCCCACTTGTATTTCGTAATCTTTGCAAATCCTAGTCCAACTGTAAATTTTACTGCTTTCTGATTCGTACACAGATGCTAAAAAGGAATTGGAGAAACTGAAGGGTGGTGCTATGTTGGATGCATACAAGCACAATCCATCCCCAATTAAACGAACCCGTCGACCATCGATTCTAAGGTAGTAATAAATTTTATTTAATGGCCATAAAATAAATATTTTCGTCTATATGTTCTTTATGCCTGCATTGGTATGTAGCATGCTTTTTCTTTTTGTGATTAGGACATCATTGTTTTTTATAATGCAGAAAGCGGGCTAAGCACAAGCATTCCTATCCGCTGATGGATTTCGAAAGTAGTGAGAATGGTAGTCCACTGAATCATAGCACACGAATAGAACCTAACAAAAATGTTGCACAGGAGGAGATGGAGTTAGCTGGTAAGAAAATCCTGTTAAAAAGGTCATTAGTATCTACTGTAAATCACGATCTTTGCGAAGGATGCATATATATTTTTTCACTTCCCATCCCCTTATTATTCATTCCTAGGGGCATGATAACTCTGACCATTACAGGTTCATTAGCTGAGGAAGTGAACGATAGAAATTTTGATGAACTGCTGTCTCTAAATACTGAATGTCTAGAAGGTGATGGGGCGGTTACTCATGTACAGAAGTGTTTGAGGATGCAATCAATTGAACCAGAGAAATCTGACCTCCCAGAATTCCAAAGTATCCCTAAGGGTGACTGTTTGACAGACATAGATAATTTGTTAAAAGGGTTAATCAGTTCAACAGGTGTGAAGCATAGAAAGCGGCCAGAAGGCTCTATTCGTTTTGCATCTCCAACACCACCAAAAAGCCCCTTTGCTTCAATTCTGGATTTGCATAAGAGAATTTTACATTCAAGTCCATCAAGCGATCCATTTTCAGCTCTTGATATTGATCGGTTGCCAGAGACAAATCCTTCATCAGTTGAGAACTGCAACAAGCAATCTGAGCTGGTTGACATGAGAGAGCAGATTACCGTTTCTAATACGTTGAAGTCACCTTTCATTGAACCAAATGACAATATTGAAGTTGCTGTGATAGGTGGTACATCTGATGTGGATATTGAAGAATTGAGTTATGCATTGAAAAGATCTGTGAGTGAAGATTCAAGTAAACATGATGTGAGAATTGATGTTGGCTCAAGTGGATCTCATGTTGACCTTGAGGAAAACATTGGAGGGAGTAACATGCATAACAGGGTTATAAATGACACATCACATAGCCCTGGTACCGATACGGATGCTTGGGACAATGGGGACAATGGAGATAATGATGGGGATGAGGTCTGTCTACCTTTTGGCTTTTTCCATTTTTTGTTTATGGAATTGTAAACCATTTCTGATTTTGTGATGTATTGTGACAAGATACAGGTTGAAAATGAACATGAGGAAGCAGTGGCTAGTGCGGAGCCTGAACTTAATGTGGCAGATTCAACTTTGGGAAAGGCGGGCAGCACTCTGAATGACAATGTGCACCCTGATGCTGATACAGATAATAGGGACAATGTGACTAATGATGGGGACCAGGTCTGTTTACCCTTTTGGCTTGTTTATATTTATTTTTGAGCTGTAAACATTTGCTGATTTTGCGATGTTTTATGACAAGATCCAGGTGGAAGACAAACATGAGGAAACATTGGCTAGCGAGGAGCCTGAACTTAACGTGGCAGACTCAACTTTGGAGAGTACGAGCAGCGCTCTGAATGAAAATATACAGATCAAAGCAAACTCACGCCCACAGATAAAACGGAAGAGTAGAGAAGTCTCTAGAAGGAAAAGTCTAGCAGGTGTGTACTCGTGCATATGTGCCAACATACTAATATCCACTGCTGCTGCTGCTTCTTTACTGCTATTGTTAATATTCATTTTCTGTTTGAATATCAACTTCTTAGGGGCTGGTACAACGTGGCAATCTGGTGTAAGGCGAAGCACGAGGATCAAGACAAGACCTTTGGAGTATTGGAAAGGGGAGCGGCTGTTATATGGACGTATACACGACAGTGAGTATTTTGTTTTCAGTGTCAAAATGCTCTTTGTTTTCATTTTTATAATTACTAGCTCTCTCTCGTGTATCTGATTGCCGTTTCACTTTCTATTACACATAAGAAATCCACGAGCAAAACAAGTTAATCATAATCATACTGGATATTGCAGGTTTGGTAACAGTAATTGGGATTAAGTACGCCTCTCCAGAAAAGGATAATGGAAGAGGTCCTCTGAAGGTGAAGTCATTCGTCTCTGATGAATACAAAGAGCTTGTCGAGCTGGCAGCTTTGCATTGACATGGCTGATCACTTAAGAATACAAGATTTGAGATATGTATTGGCGATTCTTATTCGTTCCTTCCCTGCAAACATTTTTTCGTTTAAGGAAAGTATTTGTCGAAGCGGATGCCCTGTCTTATGAGTAAACTGGAACCACTGCTGCCTTTGTACAACCTTACTCTCCATGATGATCAACCTATGAAGAGTGATACTCGTCACCCTTTTTATCTTCAAATGCCTTTTGTTTCTGACTTTTATGGGGTTTTCGTAACGCGTATAGAAGGGTAATTTGGTAATTTTGTCGGTGCCGACGAAATTGCTTACATTTCGTCTTGCCTCTAAATTGGAGCTGCTAGTGCTAACAAAAATGGTTGCAAAGGTTTTGATATTTTGTGGCGGGACATGATATGATCAACCACGCAGTTTAGGAAAGGTGATCTAACTTGTATAGCTTAATGCATGTTTAATGAACCTTGGACATTCAGTCTGGACCGTGGTTTCAATGCTTAATTTTAATGGCGTCATAAAAAAGAAAAGTCTCGTTTGGTTTTAAATTATATAACTCATTATATTTAGAGCGTGCTGAAAGAGTAAATAAAGAGATTTTGTCCATTATCAAAATGGAAAATTAATTGTCCCTCACAAAATCGTATGATTGGACGGGATAAGTTTCTTTTATGCTTATTCCAATTTAATCCCCATAAAAAGGAAAATCATTCACAAGAATCACTATTATCTTCACGAACTTGCTAAATTATATGAGTTGTATAGTCGAGTTCAATCATAAGAGTGTATAGAAGAGTCTTTTTAGGGGACCAAGTCCCGGGCCATGTAGTCATTCTCCTATTTTAGACTGCTTTTTAGGAAGTAATAACATCGCTAACTCATAAGCAGTTTCTAAAAAGCACTCTAAAAATAGAATAATGACTATTTATAAGTACAATATGATTTTCTAAAATAATACCATTACTAAATCATAAGTACTTCCTACAAAACACTCTAAAATAGTAGAATGACTACCTAGCACTTAGTACCATTCGACGATTAAATATGTCATTAGATGCCTATATGACTGTCAGATGATGATAATATTAAGAGAAATTTTATTTAAATTTATATAACATTTTTCTATACCTAACTTACTCTCTACACCCATATTATTTTTAATTCAAGAATTAATCTCTTTCAACACAATTTTTTTACTTAAACTGCCCTCACAAAGCCAATTCAAAATGTAAATTTATCTTTACACCCATTTAGAAAATAAAAACCCAAATTGAATAATTTGGTGAAGTTTCTGCTTGTTTATGGGAATGAAGGCTTTATGGAGTTCGACTTATGTGGACAAGTTGAATAATTTGGTGAAATTTCTACTTGTTTACGAATCTTCCATATACTAATAATAATTTCTCTTTTTGGTTTCCCCTTTGGATTGTATGGCTTGAACTTGACGAACACTTCTATTTGTTGAGAAGACTAGATGTGTGGTGGTAATGGCCAAAAAGTTGAAACAAACTTCAAATCAATTAAAAATATATCCAGAAAAAATATTAGGGTTTTTTTTGGTCGGAAATGAAAGAATATTAGGTTAAAAATGGAAAATTCTTCGACCTCCATCCTCATCTACTACTCAATGCCGTTGCAACTCCTCTATATACTTCTCCACATCTAATTAAAAAAAAAAAAAACAAGAAAGTAGGAAGAAGAAATAATAAGATTTCCTTCATAATGTTTGGGAGGGGAGGCTTTGCCACCATATACACTGCAAAACCCAAAAATCCATCTTCTCAACTCTAAAAAAAATTGAAATCAATTGAATTTTTTTTTGCATAAATTGATTGATATCTTAGTTGGAGGATTCAAAACTTCAAAATTACCCTCCATCGATAAAAGAAAAGTTTGTTTTTCTCTATGAGAGCTCTTAGAGTTTTAGCCGAAATGAAGCAGGATAAAATTAAATAGTGTAATGGTTTGGTTTAATTATTGAGAGTGATTTTATTGATAAATTTTAGTTTTATTATTAATCTTATCTTGTACTTGATGGTAATCATTGGAATGGGGTAAAAAAGATAATTTAAATTTTAGGAAGATATTACAGAGTTTGAAAAAAATTTCTCTATACTAAGTACTTATAAGTATTGTAATCCAATCTATAAATTTGCTTTTAACTAATTCTATCAAGCACTACCAAATGCGTTCTTGTGATGTAATAGCGCTTTTAACCATTCTAGCTCGAAGATATTTTGTACTGTTCATCTAAAGGCCCAAAAATACGGTTATCCAGAAGCACTATTTACCTAAATTTGTTCTAACGTTGCGAATTTTGTTCTAGAGAGGTCTGAATTCCGGAAAAAGAATGTCATATGGAAGATTAAGCTTCCATTTCACAAGTCAAGACTCAGTTTTCTGCTTTGTTGGGGTTGAATTTGGTTCTAGAGCTCTCCATTTCGGAAACAAAAGGTCATATTGGAAGATTAAGTCAAAAGTCAGCTTTTTGCAACTTTTCTTTGTCCGGGTTTAATGCTGCATTAGCTATGTGCTTACGCCACTCTTCATATTATATTAATCAAATTCCAACGAGCGATTACCGTTGTTGACATTAGCAATATGTTTTGAAGGGTAATGCTAAGGAGATTAAATTTTTAACCAGATGACAAACCAAATGTTCTATCACCAATAAGAAACAAGCAGATTAGCTGACACTTAATTAATATTCCAATCATCTGCAACCACATCATTTAATTTATAAAATTTGATATCCCTAGCATTACCTTGTTTTGAAATACACATTTTATACTTTTTATTGGACGGAAGGTTCTTTAATTGACAAATTTCAAAGTTTAGTAAATATGATCGCAAATCTATATTATCTCTGTTGTACTAGAATTCACATTTCGTCTCTCGAAAATGTAAAACAAAATACAAATTTAGTTTTTTGTATCAAATTTGCATATCTCCAATAAAGATGCTCTTATTGATATGTTCTACGAACTAATATTTGTTCTTTTGATTGAAGGGCAAACTTGCATACATGTTTGAAGTGGCTGTAATTTTTCTCCTCTCAAAGTTGAGTAAAATTTGAAGACGTGGATGCAGCAACATTGTTTGGAGCAGATTTATTCCCTAGTTCGAATCACCCTTTTTGTATTTTGAATTTATTTGAAGCATAACATCGCTTGTATTATGAAGAGGTCCTAATTAGTTGAAATTCCTCCCCCACCCTTGATCAAAACCAAAAGAAAAAAAAAGAAAAAAAGAAAGGCCTTCCCTCGTGCATTTTGACCAAATGATCTTTCTCCTTTGACATTTGAAATTAAATTTGGGGTCTTGAATTGCTAAAATAAGATATACGTAAGAGGTGACCTGTCTTGCTTCACAAAAACCAATCTTATGTAGTAGATTCACACACTCTGGAAAACTTTGCTATTTTTTCGGCTTTTTAGCCAAAATGCTTTGTGATTATGTCGTAATCCTTCATTTTGATTTCTGAGATTTAAAATTGATAGATGTAGTTATTGAATTTGTTCAACGTCAATTATTTTTGTCATTCCGTAAAAAATGTATGTTAAATTGAATATATTTTTGTCAAATCAATCCCGCCACTTACTTTTTCACCATACTCTCTCATTTCCCTCCAACAAAAACTGCTATGCTGTTGATTTTGGCGCTAGAATCAAATCTTCAGCCATTAAAACAATTTGGCACCAAATTCAAGTAAATCATCACAAATGGTCTTTGAAAGAAAGAAAAAAAAATGATGAAAAACAAGTGGAGGGGTTAATTTCACAAAATACTCTAAATTTAATAGAGATATTTTCACGAAATAACCAAAATGATTGACCATAAATTCAATGACCACTTCTATCGTTTTTAAAGCTTAGGGACTAAAGTGAAGAGTTATGCCAATCTCAAGAACTATTTTAGTTAAAAAGCCATACATTTATTTTATTATGTGAGTCTATATGTACCGTTGGTATATATATTATTATTATAATTAATGTCGTCATCATTATTATAATTGTTATTATTATTGAGCAGAAACAATGTGTTCTTTGAATTGCAGCAGCTGCCCACCGAAAGTTAATAAACAAGGGACAGTTAAACCTGGACATGAAATTGATCTCCTCTCCTCTCATATACACTTTAAATATTTGTCAATCCGCACAAAAAAATACAACAATTAATTAACAATTATTCACGCTAAAAGTTCAGTTAAACAACATAAATTAACAACTAAATAGTGTGAATACATGAGTCCGGAGAGATTATAATGGTCTCCCAAACGTACTAATCCATTTTTTGTGTGATCCCAATTCCATATTTTTTTTCCTAATAAGTACATGTTTATGGAAGATTACTTTGTGCATTATCACTATTGACAAAATGTCTAGACAGTTTTTATCTCAAGTGCCGGTCCAGTTTGATTTCTCTATGCCAATATTACTTGTAAAATGTAGTGGATCAATCAAAACTAACTTTTGCTATTGATTTTATTGTCGTTATGTAATTATTGTTCGAAATATAGTGTTAAAATTGCATCAGTGATTAATATATTGTATAAATATATATAATTGTCGGCATCAAGCCTTCAATTGTTTGATGTGATCGTAAAACCAACATGCATGATTGAATCGTGAGAGGTAACCATTAGACAACTAAATGAATTAAATTTGATTGTAGATGGGGTGTAGACTAAGCCTTATAATAGGCTATCGATAATGTAGTTCGAATTAACCTTTGATGATAATCGAATTTAAAACTTCATTAAGAATACCACTAAACCGTAGTACTAAGTGACATATGAATTGTTATAGTGCTCATTGCTGATCAAGTAATAAGGTAATATGGCGCTAATAAGTATAAGTTAATAAAACATTAAACTGGGATTTCACAATATTTAATGATCTAAATCAATGACATTTTAGGTCATCATTAAAATATTAATCTTATAAAAATTCCCTTCAAATTATCTGCCTGTAACCAAACAAATGAACAAATACAACGTTGTCCATAAACAAAGACATGTTGATGGCAATCATATTAAATGGCTAAACAATTTCAGTTTGGGTGAGCTAGTAAGGATTTTATTTGGATGAAAATATAAAACACAAAATTATGAATTAAGTCCAAAGCGATAGCTACTGTAATATTAACTTATTAATCAGTTAATGCTTGGATAATAATATATACTATATGGATCATGATGAATGGACCATGCAATCAATGAGGTGAACA